CACACACACACACACACACACTTACTCATCTCAAGGCTTTAGAGAGAGGGGCACAAAAAAAGGGCAGAGAAATGGGGGAGAAAGGTCTTTTCTTCCTCTGTCAGAGCCCCTCAGTCAGCTTTCTTTGTGTCCCACATTCAGATATGACTGCTGTTTCAGACAATGAGAGGGAGTCTGGATCAGAGCAGAGGCCTATTACCCCACATCCCCACCCCCAGATGTCTGACAGATCAATAGCTCATATTGATTGGGTTCTAATTCTGCAGACTGTAAAGGCAGACTCCAGCTGAGGGGAGGGAGTTGGGGGGGGGGGGGTGCTGTGGAAGGGTGTGGCATGACATACCGGTAAAGATTTTATTTGCCCTTTTAAGTACTATATATATTTTTTGCTTTAATCAACCCATGTTGAGCATTGATCCAAAATTTTGTAATATTTGCTGCAAATCTGTAAGAAATCCTGCATAACCAGTGAAAGGGGGCTACAATAAACCAATACATCATCCACCCAGTCTGCGCCTATAACAGCTGCCATCTGCAACAATAGACCCCTGAGGCCCATTATTACCGCTGTCTTATTGTCTCCTCTTTATTTTACAGCTGATAATTTGCAAAGCCAGCCAGCGTATGTTTAAGCGGGACATGTCCTGGTATTAAGACCACCCCAACAATAGCCCAGATTTTAGGGGAACGTCGGGGTCATGATGTGCTTCTGGCAGAGATGTCCTGGAAAGCAGAAGCTTTCTTTGTAATGATCGTCTTTCCTCCCCTAACCAAATTAAGAGGAGGGTGGGGGAGGAATGGAGGAAACAGCTGATGCGTGGCAGATGCAATGATTGGTTTCCAGTTGCCCTAATGTGCAATTTGTTGGCAATGCCAAATTCCCCGCAATGTCTGGTCCCCTTATTATTCCACAGAAGAACATTATAGGCGTTGCCGTAACTGTGCTTGAACATTTTGTTGTTGATGGAAATTTTAATAACCTGCCTCTTATATATATATTTTTTGGCTGAAATGACATTAAAGTGTCTGCTGGTGGTCTGTGAGAGAGAATCCCTGTTCGTTTCCGTTCCCTCAGGACTGGTTGACTCAGATGTCCAGTGGATCTGATTGACAGAGATGCTGAATGGCTGCATTGTGCTGAACTGGGTCAGGGTGTGGCATCGCTTTTTCCTACTCATTGTCCTCATTCTTTCACACTGATTTTTGTCATTACTGATACCCATCTATTGCGTCACCGTCAACCGTCCATCAATTTCATGGTGCTGCTGCTGTTGTGCGGTGCTGCTAAATTCCCCCTTATGATCGCTCATTTGTCTTATTTTTGGTTTCTTTATATTTAAATYGTATTGTGTGCAATAAATYATCAGGGAAAAACTGCCACCAATTAGGCCCTTTGCGATTACTGCTATTATAAGTCACTGTGGCGCAGAGCTCATGCTAATGCTAATACAAACGTGGACCTAAAGCTAACACAGAACCAACACTAATGTGGYGAWAACATTAATGCAGAGCTAACGCAAAGCTATTGCAAATGCTAAYTCAGAGCTAAAATTAACATGGAGGTAACACTAATACTAACACAAAGCTAACATTAACCCAGAGCTAACACTGAYGCTAACACTAGCTTACTCACCTGAAACACCACTATGAACTACAAGAAAAGCCAGAAAATGTGGATCGACGCCACAACATTGGCTAAATGGTGGAACCAAATCTACCCAGGCGAGAATCCCAGATGCTCTCAGTCAATCTGTCTGCTATGAGCAGCAAAATAAGCTCTTAAAATGAAAAAGTTAATTTGATTGATTTGTAAGTATACTTTTAGAAAACAAATGCAATTATCATTTATTAATCGCTATMGCCTAAATGCCAATCTTTGCCAATRTCACCCAACCCTAATTTAAATGTCAACATATTTATTATTCCACTGACCTCAACCCCTTCAAGTTCTTGTCTGCAGAGCAGTCAGCGTAACCAGATTCATGTAAATTCAATATTTGCTGCTGAATAAAGTTTGTCTGCAAAACATCAGACAATTTTGGACATGCGCACGACTGCCTAGAGTGGATTTTAATTCCCCACATGGCTTCCAGGAGCCGAGTGTATTCTTTTAACACATGAACAAGACCTGAATACAGATTTGACAACAATCAGTGGCTTCAGGGTATCACTGCCTTCTGATGTTTATTTTCAGTTTAGTCTTCAGAGTGATCTGTAGCTCCATTCTTCTCCCCCCGTCTCKATCACATTTTACACAGGAAAGCATTGCATTCTGCAGAGTCATCAGTTGGATGGAAATATTAACAGCTGTGCAACAGGAAACTGCTGAAGTGATACGACTTGCTGAAAACGGGGGAAAATTCCTGGCCTATCCATTTAAATACCCCCCAAAAAAGCAAACTCACTGCTGTTTTCCTCATTTAAAGATCCACAAACCCCAGAGCTTGGAGTAACACGTGTTCTTTTCATTGCAAGTCATTGTCATGTGACGTCTTTCTGCAGTTCTGGGAGGTGATCAGCGAYGAGCACGGCATCGATCCCACAGGAACTTACCATGGAGACAGTGACCTGCAGCTGGACAGGATCAGTGTCTACTATAATGAGGCCACAGGTAACAATTAATCTGTTTAATTATTCACAACGTAGACATGCTGTTGCTTAGTTCTGTCATTTGGCACATATAGAGTTTTTTTTCACATCTTATATAAATTTCTGTGGAATTTTAAGCTGGTATGTTTCTCTTCCTGTTTGTCCTTTTTTTTCATGTCTTGCTCCCTTTCTTTTGGAGGAGGTAAATACGTACCGAGGGCCATTCTTGTGGATTTGGAGCCAGGGACCATGGACTCTGTGAGGTCTGGACCTTTTGGGCAGATCTTCAGACCTGACAATTTTGTGTTCGGTGGGTCCAATAAAGGCTTACTACTTGTTAAAGTAATATTTCTTGATTTAAGAACATGGGAAAGGAACATCTTATGTTTTTTCCCCACAGGTCAGAGTGGTGCTGGAAACAACTGGGCCAAGGGACACTACACAGAGGGGGCTGAGCTGGTRGACTCAGTCCTGGACGTRGTCCGCAAAGAGTCYGAGAGCTGTGACTGCCTGCAGGGCTTCCAGCTCACCCACTCTCTTGGTGGTGGAACTGGATCTGGTATGGGAACCCTTCTGATCAGCAAGATCCGTGAGGAGTACCCTGACCGGATCATGAACACCTTCAGTGTGGTGCCTTCCCCCAAGGTAACTTAACCTCATGTTAGCACATGATAAGTTTAACGTTTATTTCTAGTTTATTTTGCTGCAAGCTCCTTGGCTACAATCATATGATTAAATAAAACGTGTGTGTGTGTGTGTGTGTGTGTGTGTGTGTGTGTGTGTGTGTGTGTGTGTGTGTGTGTGTGTGTGTGTGTG